TCACGGCCGTAAAATCACTGTTTCGTTTTCTTCGGAATGACGATCTAGCCGGATATCCCGAATGTAATAATGGAATTATCTTTTTCTTTCAGATTTTGTCGTTTCCGTAATGTCGTAATGTATATTGGAAAATGTAACGAGTATTGAGAAACAATCGGCAACAGAATTTTATCTTATGTGTATTGTATTTTATTATACGATATATAAATATAAATATAAGCATCAACTAAATATAAATTATATAGAAAGAATTTTATTAAGTGTTATTAAAAAATAAATAATTTTATAATTTTCTACGTTTGAAAAATATTAAACATATTATGATTAATATATAAATTTTGAGAAAAAACAAATTACTTTCCTTTATATAACGATCTTAAAATTATGTCAAAATTGTTTTAATTATTGTATTCATTGTATCATATATTGAGAAAAAATATGCTAATTTATACAAAATAAATTTATAGCCACAAACATCTAATCTAAAAATTCCGAAGCTTAATAACAGCTTTTGCTCTATGAAAACCGGCACACGATATCGCGTGATGCAAACTTGACGAAGGCGAAGCAGTGAAACGCAAGTTAAGTCGATGTCTATCTAACAGTAAAAGTCCTGCTAGACGACGATAAAACTCAGCGGATTTGCAAGGACAGAGAAAGAGTTTACTCATTCATTTGTCATCAAATCTTGGAAAGCGTATCTTAACAGCCGTATAATTCCTAGTTAAATTTTATCTCACGTCGTTTAAATAAATGATGCAAAACAATAACTTGAATTCCTAATGTCAGTTTGTCTGCTAATCTAAAATATTAATATTCATAACGCCTTAATGATTAATATATTTTTTAAGATTTATACATATAACACAATATGTCTAAATGTAAAATTGCTTTTATCAAAATTTTATCTTTTTCATACTGCATGAAACGTATATTATCAAGAAAGTAGTCGTTGCGGAAGATCAAAAATTACAAACTTTAGAAAAAATTGACCACAAAATAGTCAAAGCGATTTAATAGTAATATCACAAAGTACCTGGTGTAAAGCAACACAATTAACGAAACAGCATGCAGTCGGCAAGGGCTCGTAAAAATTCTGCTGTTCGTGCAGCAGAAGTTTCAAGCGCTTGCAATTTTCTTCCTCGAGGATAATAGCGTCGCACTGGACGCGACTAGAATTTTGAAACGATCGGCAAACAGACGCAGCGCAAATTTAAGCAGCGATGATCCATACTTTTAGTTATTTCAGATGATGAGTTGTTTATACTTGATTATGTATGTGTGTGTAAAAATTATTTGCCGCGTAAATAATATAATCATGCCAATCGCTCTCGAGCGAGTAAAAATATGCGTTAAGGTTTGCATGTAAATGCGCGTTAATGATGAAAAGAAGATATCCTTCGAAGAGATTATTAATGTAGAAAAAGTGCCCTTTGTTCTTGTGAAGCATGTAATTTTAGCGATTACGGTGTGATTTATTGGTAAGATTTTTCAATATTTCACATTTTACAAATACTTACAAAATAGATAGTAATAATACATCAACGTAATTAACAAAAAAGATCTATCGTCAAATAAAAAAATGTTAAAATTTTACTAAACATGTTCACAAATATTGAGAATATGTGTATAAATTCCAATTAATAAAACTCTTAAAAATGAAACGAATTGGAAAGGTAAAAAATTAAACGTCTTTTAAACTATCAATTAATCTTACAATTAGTTATTGATTAAATTCGTCCTCCGTATAAATGAAACTACAATTAAACGAGATGCTGCGAATCGCTAAGTTGAAATTAGTTAGCTTGAACTGCTGCAACATGGCCCAAGAGTTTAGAATTCATTACTAGTACCGGAAACGTATAGACAGAGTTGCAGAGTTCACCACTAACAATCTGGGTACCTAATCCCAAGATAGCGCAGCTTGTTGCCTCATTCTAAATTATCTCTGTACGTATCATAAAGGAAGAAGGAAAATTCAGTTAACTAACGGCCAGACAGCAAACCATTTCTCGATTAACCATCTTATACATATAATCTGACTTCACACGCGTCTCTGTCAATCGTCATTTACCCAACATCTTGAGATTTCTAACGGATGTTATCTCCACCGATATGAGAATTGAATGAATATAATAAGTCAACGAAAGACGAGATGACACTCTTCACATTTCACACTTATGGCTGATATACAGTTACTTGAACACACATGTACACATATACACGTACGAAGGAAAAAATGTTTTGTATTTGTATTAGAAACGATACACTTAAATCCTAAAATTTTGTGTTGAATGTTTATCGTATCCGAATGTTAATTTAACATAATGTGATTGTGTTATTGTTGAATATTTTGTGTTAAATTTATATTCAATATTTGTTAATGATAAAATAACACAATTATGAGTAAGTGAACAAATAGCATAAAAATAGTGTTTTTAAAACCTAAATTTTAAGATAAATAAGTAAAATGTGTCAATTTAACATATTATAAATGTTAATTTTAATGAAGAAATATGATTGCTTACAAATTTTGTCAGTGTTACATTTTTTGCGTAAATTTTTTAAAAACATTTGTATTACCTCCTAATATATGCATGTTGTGTGAAATTAAAACACAAATTTCAATATGTCGTTTGGTACACTCGAAATGTGTTTTTAATAAAAACTTTTCAATTGCGTATACATGAGACAGTTTGGCGTCAAGTTACTACAATTTTGGAATTTCGGTCGCAATGCTATTATCACGGTAAAATTGGATTGCTCCAATTATTCAGCCAAAAATTGTATTGGTCAATCAATAATTAAATCAAAGATCACGATCGGAATAAAAAAAAAAAATCCCGTCCATAGACTTTTCGCGCTCGAATCCTAGAAGCCTCGATCGCGACTTAGGAACTAGTCTTCGACGACCTCAATTCCATTGGCGAAACTCGATACGCATCTCGCGAAACGATTCATCGTAGAAGCGTAAAAGCGAACCGTGTCGCATTTCCGCGGATTTCCGTTTATTATCGACCCTACGTCTCTCGAAACGTAAATATGGGAGGCGCAAGGCACCCTTCGACGACGACCTCCGAATATCCTCGTCGACTTTTTCGCGGCTATCCCTTGCCTTCCACTGTTTCCGTTGCGCTGTCGCGCGATCGAGAGATGAATGTGCCTGAAAGAAACTTCGACTGCTCGAGGGCCCTCGACTCACGAGGCATGCCGTCACGTTTTGTGACTCGCGAATCAAATCTCACGTCGAAATGCTCGGCCAAATCATCATGGAGGATTCTTCTTTCGGAACAGAAGCCGGTCTCTTTCTCGTAAAACTCCGATAAGTATCAGTAGACTCATAATACTATCATAACAATATTACAAGTTTCCGCGTCTTGCAACTTATAAATTTAATAATTATACTTCTTGTGTTTTGTGTGTGTGTGTGTGTGTGTGTGTGTGTGTGTGTGTGTGTGTGTGTGTGTGTGTGTGTGTGGTGGGGGGGCGCACGTATATAGGGTGTCCCAAAAGCCTTTGCCAATCGCTTTTGTGTAGGTAGAGCGGACTAAACTGAGTCAAAAAGTCCTCTACTATTTTGCAATTTTCGCAATAGTTAACAAAATATTAATTACTAAAAATTGCCAAATATTGGTCTTGAATAATTCTTTACTCAAATACTATCAACTTTATAGAAAAGCTGCAAGAGACAAAAGTCGTTAATTTTCTTCTCATAAAGTTCTGAGAATTTTTTCAGAATTTTTTCAGAATTTTTTAATACCGTATTTTCTCATGTTGGTAAAAATAAGAAAATGCAGTACTAAAAAATTGATAAAAAATTCTGAAAAAATTCTTAGAGTTCTATGAGAGGAAAATAAATGATTTTTGTCTCTTACAGTTTTTCTGTAAAGTTAATTTTATTTAAGTTATTTGAATAAAAAATTATTCGAGACCAATATTTGGCAATTTTTAGTAATTAATATCTTATTAACTATTGCGAAAATTGTAAAATGATATAGGACTTTTCGACTCAATTTAATCCGCTCTATCTACACAAAAGCGATTGGCAAAAACTTTCGGGACATCCTGTATATATACCATTGAGATGAAAAGCTAAAATTATAAAAAATCAATTGAAGAATACCGATGCGCGAATCTTTAGCCATTAATTATCTTAACATCTTTGATACTATTTTTATTCATATCTATGTATATTTTTTAGTTTATTCTGATTTATTGTATATTTTTCCGTATTATTTAAAAAGCGGAATACGCGAAATACATATATGAATAGAAACATTGTAATAAAAGATTCAAGCATCGTTATTCTATCTGATATACTGCAAATATTAAGTTTGAAATCTTTGCACGTGTCTGGTTCGTGGATTGCATTAATCTCGTGAGGATTGAATGAAAACTCTGGAAATAAAATATATTCCAATTTCGCGTGATAACATTCACCGAATTTTCGAGACGAACGATATCGCCGCCGCTCCTTCGCATTCGAGCACATTCCTTGTGTTACATTTTATGGAACATTTTAACGCGGCAGATTTATATTTTGCTTAAGAGAATTTCAACAGAATTTATGTTATGCTTCCGTGTCATAAATTTAATCATTGCGTCATATTTAAATGGAATATTGTGTACATATAAATTAAACAATAATATTAAAAATCCTTCAAGGTATTTATTTCAAATCGCACGTTTAATTAAGGCTTCTGCAAATGCAATAAAGGATGAACACGGTCGATCTTCGAATCGTCAGAGTCAAACGAGTCCACGATAAATTATCTCACAAAGCAGCTCTCCTATTATCGCTATCCTTCGTCTAACTCTTAAAAAAAATGTAATACTATAAGTATAAAAATTGATTAGCAATTAATTACTTATTTTAAACATTAAAACACTGCTGTTAGTACTTTTAATACCTAAATAATGATTTATAATCAATCACTAACCAATTTAATATTTACAGTATTAAATTCCTTTAAGGGAATGTCTAGAAATCTCGTGCTTACCTCCTCCACCTTTCTACAAACTCCCAATCAGAGTCAATCGTGATACCGATATACGTAAAAGAAGTATACCTTCCTACGCGAGGAAGTGCACGTTACAAGACACTCGAATATTGAATGACCGAACTCGCGAATCACTCACTAGAGACGAACGAACACCCGTCTTTCTCCTCGTTCTCCTTTTGAAAGGAGAGTGACAGCACACGCACTCGACGTTTTTCTACATTCGATCCACTATTTGACTATTCGAAAACCGTCACATTTTCCCGCTAACCACGAATTGCCGCGCGCGCGCGACGAACTCCCATCGCGATAGCTCGTCGCGAACTGACAACGCGGGACAACGTTGGCGGTCGGGGCCGGCCGAGCCTGGCCGGAAACGGCCGAGAACCGGCGGCATCGCGCGCGCGACTCGCGAGTGTATTACGTGCGACGACCGACGACCGACGAGCGACGAGCGACGACCGACGACCGATTGACGGCCGCGAGGCTGACTATTGATGTTCCCCCGATGCTCTCTGCCAATTCCGCCGGTCGACGGCTTTCCGGGCTTACGGCTTATTGCGCGGCGCGGCGCGGCGTGTCGTGTCGTTTCTGCGAAACGGAATCGCCACCGCGCCGTCGTCGCCTTTCCTATACTTTACCTTCTATTCTAAAGCGTCGACGACCGGATGAGATCGCAGTATGGATCGGTGTATCACGATTCGAGCTGATCGGAGCTCGAGACTCTTCCAACCGCTCTGTGAGCAGCGAGACTGCTATGAATTTAACTTCCTCGCGGGGTAGTCTCGGGAACTCGAGAGTAGTCGAGAGATGTATCATTCTCTCGAGATATCGAGGATATTGAGTTAGTTTTATGTTGGCTGTGTATAATATATCTGTAAAAAAGATCCTCTGGCAATAAAAGAATATTAAATCTCTTTTTAGTACTTTTAAATATTAACGTGATTAATTATATTGATTGTTTTTACTACATATGGATTGTTTTAAACTTAAAGCGTTTGAAAAATAAGATTTTAATGAGCAAACAATAATTTTTGAATAATTTTAGTGTTCTTATAAGCTTAATGACGATGAATTTGATATATTAAAACGATTCCATAAATGCACTGAAATTTAAATAAGTTATAATCTTTTATTCTTGTGCTAATCTACAGGAAAAAAAAACATTAATATTTTAAGATGCAGAAAGAAAGATTTTATAACAACCGTAATAATACGCGCGAGTGTATAAATATCGACTATGTATTGGTATTTCTCTACTACATTCATCTATAGGGTTGCCATCAAAATTTTCAAAACTAGAACTTGCAGGCTAAAGCTCTGTATATTTCGCTTAAAACTCCGAACGCATATAAAAATGCATATAAGTTAATAAAATTGATCAGAATATTAAACGAACAATTATTTCATATCTAATTAGTGGAACTAATTTAATATAAAAAATTGACCAATCATATATAATCGATTATTCTCCTCACATTCAACAATGATTGACCAGTTTCTTTATATAGCTTAAGGATTACTACATCTGTTGTAAATCGAGATTAATACAAAACATGGGACAAGAGTAAAAAGTAAAAAATTTAGAAGATTCTCTAAAACTCTGGACGCCTAAAAGAGAAGACAGTGTCCGGAGAAAAGACAACAGATAGTAACTGTATCATTTATCGATACTACATTTTTATAGTATTAAAAAAAGTATTTCGATATAAATATAACTATGGCTTTCATTATTGTAATTATGTCTCTGAAGCAAAATGCATATTACTGACCAAATAAATACATATTTTATGTGAATAAATATTATATGAATGTCTCGATTATATATCTTCCCTGTCCATATACGGCAAATATTTGTAGAGAGGAAATTTTTATTAAAAAAGCTTTATTTGTATGAGAACACACACACACACACACACACACACAAATTATTAATTAGCATTAATAATTTATTAACAATAAGTATTTCTCTAATATAAACGAAAAAGCTTTACAAAAAGACATGTTCATGATTTAAGAATTCTTACAAATTAAATATCTTGACTATACGAATACTTTTTGTACGTCAAAATATTAGTTTTTCATTTTTTGCTTATTATTAAAATAATATATTTTAATTTTTCGGAATGCGACATTACAAGGACAACACAATTGAGTATGGTATATCGAATTTAATTTGATTGCTCATTACTTTAATAAAAATGATTAATAATATTAAAATAATTTTTTTTAATCAAAACACCAGATATTAAGGAATATAACAATATTAAGCAAATGCATGTATCTTTATTAATAAACAGTTATAAGCAATATGAAAAAAAGAAGTTTGAAAAAGCTTTGAAAAAAGCCAAGTATATGCCATATTCAAAATGGCACCGACGAGTTAATTATTACACATCTTTTTAGGTAAGATAATTTTCAGATATATACAATCTATTTTATTCTTTGTTGATGAATTACTAATAATTAATGTTTCCTAAAAATAAGATTTTTTTAAAAGATATCTTCCCTGTATAAAAATTTTTTGCACTCACTAGTCACTGTATTTGCTATCCTAAATATCTCTCGCTTATGCAATTTAAATTCATATTCTTAAAAAGAAATAATTGCCGCAATTATTAATTACGATTGAATGCTATATTGTCAAACTTTATTTTCATCATTACTCTTATCATAAGAGCGTAACAATAAAAACTTTTTGTTTTTTATCAATAAAATTCTCGTCACTATGTAAATGAAAAAAAATGAATAAACCATGCAATTTGAAAAAACATTATGATTTATCATTCGCTTGATTGTGAATGTAAAAAGCAGCTGTGAATCGTTCGGCAATCAGCACATCACTATTAATTGATTTCCTTTACTTTCGATCGGCATTAATGAAACGTTCGCGCGTTTATCACGTTCCGGTTTCGGATTCGATCTTGAATGTTTTACTTCACGTACTTCACGTACTCTTCACGATCTTGTGATCATACCAGTAGGCTTATTCTGTAACTTTTTAATGACAATTTTGCTAGCTCGGGATGTCGTTGCGCAAGTATTTTACATGATAAAAAAGCTGCGTAACGACAATGTGACAACACCAAATGTGTCATTGAAAGTTACAGAATAGACCTACGGAGACGCAATATATTGTATTAAGTAGACATCACGCTTTATCACGATCAATGGTGAAACGAGACAAATCCAGACGTCATGCGGACACTAAGGAATCAAATCATCACGACATCACGTCCGATTAAATGAGATTTTCTATAGATACGAACGAAATTTTCATGTACAAGATATTTCATAATCATTACGCATCCTTTACGTTGAGGGACTGAAAAGTATCGCAAATTTAAATTAAATATTTTAATGAATGTTAAAAAATAATTAAAAAATAAAAAAAAATATAAATAGATATCAAAATATTTTTCACGGTCTGCTTTTAATTTTTCGATATCATTAAATGGAATCACTTTGCTGACATCAGATACAGATCTGAATTATTTTCAGATACAGAAAATAATTCAGAATTGAACTAACAAAATAAAACATTCAGAATAGTTGCTACAATTAAAAAAATATTTATAGTGTTGCTTGTTATATTTGAATTTTTTAAATTTTATGTAATTATTTTAATGATCTAACAAAGTTATTTTCAGATATGTGTGCGTTTAGATATTTCAAAAAAATTACTCGTTCCATGTAGCTGCTATTTCTCAATTATTGTCAATTATTTCATCTTTTATGTTTTGTAAATAAAATTTTTTTATTATGTTTTATTTCATTTGTTATTTATAAGAAAAATTAAAGGAGACTCGTCTTTTTAACAAATTCTTTAAGTTTCCTTCTATTAACTTCATCCATTAACCATCATTAAATCCGCATCGCCTCTTTCTATCATTCTCTATTTCTCCCTTTATATCTCTCTTTTTTACTCAAAATTTACTTCTACCTTCTTCCTTGGCAGTTGTCACCGTGACAAATGGCAATGGCTACGCTAGAGGTTAATGACGAACTTTCCTCGTCCGAGAGAAACGAGTAATGAAAAGCTGCTTGGAAAGGGAATAAGAAAGACAAAGATAAAAATTCTGGTACGACTGGTCCACAATTTGCATGTTCCATGGAGCTTTTCAGCACCGTATACAGTGCTTTCAGTGCCGAGATAAAGTCACCTCTGTTTCCTGTTCAATCAATCGGCCATTTCCAAGTTGTGGTTACAATTAGTACGACCGATGACATAGAGAGTCCGTAGATTGAAATTATAGTATACTGCTGACTTTATATTTCGACTTTTATGACTTTTATGTGAGTGCACAAGAAGGTCTTTATGCTGAACTGTACCAATAAAACGGCAACGATATATATATATATATATATTGTATATATATATAAACTATATCGTTACCGAGCATTTGGTGTTAAATGAAATTATCGGCTTTTTTCTTTCTCTAGCTTTCAATAAATAATTTCGATGATATACATACATTTTCAAGCAAACAAAATTTGCAAACTGATAACAGCATTCAGCAAGAAACGCGTCATCAGATTTTCTCCGTATCTCCGTAGCATCGAAAATTGAAGCGACAAAGATTGGTATACCGGTTCCAACTCTCGCGACTCGTAAGACTCGCTCGCGAAAATAAAGCATTTGAAGCTAGCCAGACGAACCGGAGTGCCGGAGGCGACCGGGCGAGGTCGCGAGAGGAGGGACTTTGAAGTCGAAAATAGCCAAAAATTCTCGCCAACCGGCACAGAGTCGTCTCCTCGCTCTCGAGAAAAATAACGGTGCCGGATCGTTGAACTTGCACTTGATGCGATGCCGGTTACCCCATTAAGAAAACCCAAGGAAAGGATGGGGCACAGAATTCATTGTCGTTGTGGCGGGATGGAGGAATCAGGGATCTAGGAATACATCGCCTGAAGCTACATCCCTGACTTCGTAATGATCCGATAAGATGCACGCGGGATTATTCGTGTGTAAAACTCGAATGGGCAGGATCAGTTATCGCTTCCGCGCTTCTTAGTCGCTCGGACTTCTATTTATAAGAGATCCCACGATAAACAGACCGAGGAATTGCATGATCCATAAGAAACGCTACGTAGATCTGACAAATGAGACACATGAGTTGGAAAATTGCGGATCCAAGTGATAAGAAAATTCGGGATGATTTTTTTTTTCTTAAGTCTTAATTAATAATGTGATGTGAATAATTCGATGAAAA